TTGTATGTAAATGGTATTTGGTACTTTGGATTTCTTGTTTTGTACCCTTTGGTGCATCAATTTTGAATTTATTATCATTACTGTTCCGAATTAGGTTGAGGTACATGTAGAATATTTTGGTGTTAGTGTTGTAGCAAGCTGGCAGGTCACACTGGCTGACATTTCTCTCCTTGGCCATTATTTTTTAATACTTTAGCTTGTATATTTTTCAATTTGCTTAAGTATGTTTGGCATGCACCACCCCAGGCTTGCACACCATATCTCAATAATGATTCGATTAGAGGTATATATAATTTAAAAAAAAAATTCACTTACAAAAGTCTGAATTGAATACATACATCCAGCTATCATTTTTACTTTGTTGAACAGGTCATTTGTGTGCAAGTTATATCTCAGGTACTCATCCAAAATAACTCCTAGATATGAGTAATGTGTTACGGAGTCAATCGTGATACATTTATCACTACATCCAATGGTTGTGCATCGATAATCATGCAGAGTTAATTTTCCTAATTTTACGTTTTTCCGTGTTTTGAAATGAATTTCTTAGGTTTTCACAGGATTAGCATACAAGATGTTTTCATATGACCATTTAAGAATGTTGTTAAATTCTGTTTGTAGTTGGTCTTTATATTTGTTTGTCGCTATTAGAGTACAAAAGAGCAGCATCATCTGCATACATGTAAAGTTTGCAATTTTCTATGCTTTTAAATATGTTGTTGGCATATATTAAAAATAGCACTGGCCCTAAGCAACTTTCTTGCGGGTTCTCCATGTCTGATAGTTTTAGGATGTCTTAAGATAATGTTTATTTTGACTAATATTTTTTTGTGCTCTAGATAGCTTTTAAACATTCTTAAAAAACGATCTTGAATGCCTATTTCTTGCAGTCTCTTCAACAGAATTGTGTGACTAACAGTGTCAAATGCCTTGGAGTAGTCAATGAATATTGCCATTACCTCCTTTCCTTTATCTAGATTATTATTTATGTAATTTGTGACTTGGATCAGAGCTTCTTCTGTTCCCTTACCTTTCTGGAATCCATATTGGTTTGTATGTATTATATGATTATCGTTCATATATTGATTGAGTTTTGTATTTTGTATTTCTCAAATATTTTTTCAAACACAGGGAGGATAGATATAGGTCTATAGTTATTGAGATCACTCATATTTCCGCTTTTGTAAATGGGCCTAATAATGGAGCTTTTTTATCTTTCTGGGAATATTCCATTTCTAATGTAGTTGTTTATTAGATTGCTTAATATTCCGCTTAGTACATCTGCATTGTTCACAATATCTGTTGTTCTTATTCCATCATTCCCAGGAGCTATTTTGATGCTAATTTTCTTTTTTATAATTTTGATCAAGTCTTTTTCATTTGTAGAAAGTAAATAAAAGCTGCAATCAATTGTTTGTTCATGATAATCTATTACTTTGTTATTGTTGCTAGAGTTAACCTTTACATTGCTCTCTGTTATGTTTTCTACTTGTTGAATGAAATGGTTAGCAAACTTATTTACAAGTAAATCAGTACTGAAGCGGCTTCCAAATGCTATCAGCAATTTGTCATCAATATTTTTATCTGTCTTCCTATTTGGCATGTCATTCATCTCCTTCCATATTCCTTGGCAATCGTTTTCTTTGTTTTTAAAGTATCGGTCATGATATTCTTTCTTAGCATTTCTGATTTCTTTGTTGACTTTGTTCCTGTACTGTTTATAGGCTCTTTTATACGTTTCATTGTTGGGGTTAGACTTCCACTTCTTGAATAATATGTCCCTTTCTTTTAGAATATCTGTCACCACCTTTATTAATGTTACTATTTGTTCAGTTATTATGAAGCCTTTTTTTATTGTTTTGGTATAATTCCTACATGTTGTTTTAAAGATATTCACAATATTCTCTAAGAACTTATCTGCATTTGCATCTTAACATTCATTCCAATTATGGTTTCTGATGATGTAATCGCTTGATTTGTTATCATATATTTTAACCGTTGTGTTCTTGATGTCTCTACTCATTTTTAAGTTGTTCATTTCTTTGGGGTTATATTGAATGATTGTTGGGTAATGATCGGAAATTTTCTATTTAAATGGCAGACCAAATTTCCTTAGCTTGCGATCTTACAAAGATGTGGTCGATTATGGAGCTGTGCACTATTCCTTCTCTGATTGCCTCTCTTGTGAAGTCTTCTATAGCATTCTTAAACCCATAACTATATAGAAGTAGTTCATACTCATTTACTGTTTTGTTTCTTTCTATTATATTGATATTGGTGTCACCAATAATAAATGCAGGATGGTCGTTCAAGGCTTTCACTTAAGTTTTTTAATTTTTTAAGGAAGGATATGTTGTTTGTGTTGGGTGGTTTGTAAATTATAATTATTTCTGTAATAATTAAGTTTTTTTCGGTTTTAATGGTGCCAGTTATGGCTTCAAATGGGTCTGCAATATAGTTTACATTATCAAATATTAGATTGCTTTTATAAAATACTAGTATTCCCCCTCCTGATTTAATTTCTCGCAGCGAGTAGCTTCTTTTATAGCCTGCTATGAAGTAGAGTTCTACATCTTGTTGTTTCATGTTAGCTTCTGTCACACAAATAATATCAAAGGAGCTATTGTTTAAGATGACTAAAAGCTCATTCCATTTTTTTAATGACCAAATGTTGATATGAAAAACAGACAATTTACCTTGAGTAGGATGAACTTCACCAGATTTTATGACAAATTCTTGCCACTGTTCAATGTTATCACACGCTTTAAAGTTCACTTGATTTCTTATGTCACTAGTGTTCCAATCCATTGTGAAATAGTCGAAGTAGTTTATCCAAGTCATGCAAAAAATTAACATTTGCCTGAGTCCTTGACACTAGTAGCTGCAATTACGTTGCAATTGTCTTCTTTTATCACTAATATTGTGCCATTTTTCTCCCACTCATATTTAATGTTTTAGCCTGGCTTGTATCCTCAGTTCGTTTAGTAGATTCCTATTTTCTGGTGTCAAGACTTCATTGAAATATAGGCGATCCACGTTTAATTTTTGCTCCCTGTTAAAATTATTCCACCACTGAATACCTTTCTTCCTAAAAACATTCCTTTGATTTTCATCCTTAAACTTTACAACTAATATTTTATTGCTCTTCATTGGTATTATTTCTGCTTGCGTCGCTTGACATTCCTCATCGGCACCTATTTTTTAGCATATTCTTTATACTCTTCCATGGGAGAGGCGTCGGCTGTTTTTAGTCCGTGAATTTCCACATATTTCCTTTGTTGTATTGCTCTATTTTGTTGAAAGATTGTCTATTTCCGTGTCTTTTTTTGACATGTTTCCCTTCAGAATGTTCACTTCTTGTTTCAAAAGGTTGCTTTCATTGATATTCTCATCTAGCCTTTTGGCCACCTCGTCGAGTTTCTCCGACAGACGCTAGACGGACATGATCAATTCTTGCATCAGTTTTTCCTACTCGGCGACAAATCGTGGTCCAGGTTTAAGAGGCCTTTTCTAGATTCCTCTCTTCATTTCTAGGGTGCGAAGTTGATGAGCGTCCTTGTACGAATTCGTTGCCTCTGCATTTTATACACCGCCATTTGCCTTTGCATCACGCGATTTCGCCCTATGGGTCTTTTCCGTTATTGAGCACGACCAGAATGATACATATTTTTGGCATCCCTTACATTTTACACCGTCTTCTGATATTTCTTCTTCACATAGGTTGCACATATTCATGATTGTGATGATAAAAAAACTATGGTTTCACAAAAACACTAAACAACTCTTGATAATCTGAGCGACCGGAGGTGCACGAGAACACGTCCACACGGTACGAGTGCCGGAATAATAAAAATGTTTTTAGTCGGCCCCGTGGCGCAGACGGTTGCGGCAGCCGTCGTTTGTGCCGAGGAGGTTGCAGGTTCGTGTCCTGCATAGACATGGTCGTATTTGTGATTGTCCTTTCAGTCATCATCATCCTATCATCTCATAATTCACAATAAAAGGCGTAACAACCTTGTTGTAATCCAAGGATAAAGCTGATCCTGGAAGAATTACACACGTTAATCGTGTAGCGTGGTTAGTAATGGCCTATACAACAATAATAATAATAATAATAATAATAATAATAATAATAATTACTTTAAAAAAGTGCGAATTAAGAAATATTTGTAGAAATTAGACATTTTCGTTCCCGAGTTGTAGAAAATTTATTTGCATCAGTAAACGAACTCCAAATTTGATTTGCCTTCATTGTTAACAAAATAGTAACTGACCCGAAGCTCTACTTCTACCGCTACAAGCAAAAGGAGAGTCCAACAAAACGGGCGCGTAGTGAAGCTACATTTATGTCCAGAAGCAAAACAAGAGCCCATCTCAACATTTGCTCAATGGATCAGGGAAACTGGACAAAAACCTGATCGAAATGGGATAAGTCGTATGAGGGAGAAGTACGATGTATTAAGTTTGTCTATGTTGACTGCTGTAGCAAATATTTCGATTTGAACTAGTGTCTAGTGAATAGCTTTTGTAAGCATTCACTCCAGAACTACCTTCAAATTAGAAATTTTCAATTACTAGGATTCGTAATTTTATTAATGCTTTAAATGAAATATTTATGCTGACATTTGTAGATGTAAAATAATACTAAATCTCTGTAAATTATCTATAAAATGAATGCAATTTATGGCAATTAATATCATCGATTGACATGCAAAACATCGCAAGAGCCAACCTTCTAATTATAGGATTTTTTCTGTCTGAGATCTTACAGCGTCACACAACCAGACAACACAGAGTAATCTTCAGTATTAAGATTGAAGGTTGGGGGAGAATTTTATCTTCAGAGGTATGAAATTGATTATGCAAGTATTAAAACATCTAATAATCTCTGATGTAAGTATCTCAAGTAATAATCCCAAGTAAGAATCGTATGAGGATGTCAGATACAAATGTAGTTCTTAAGACAAAAACCATGCTTCATATTAAAACAGCAAATATTTCTATATAAATGTTTGGAAGTGGTTGTTAAGATAGCATACATATCTCATTTTTCTCGCCTAGAATAAGTAATAAATCAAAGTGATTATATCATTAGTCACCTCATCCGAGAGTCGAAAGTATACATGGATTAGTCACCATTGTTCAGACCACAGCCGCCGAAACGACTGAAGCTGCGAACGCTTTCTCCAAAGTCCAAACGTCGAACTCACTATTAAGGAGGACAGTAAATACACTGTTATTTTAAGAGCAGAATTTTTAGAATTTGCACAGACACTACTGTAGTTGTCTGTCCGCACTTTTAAATTGCTACATGTGTGCAACGATTTAAGCTCTTGGATACGCCATAAGATCTTAAGGGCTAACCACAAGATTACAAAGAGCTCAAAACGCAAGCCTTCATTTTATTTACAATCTAAACTAATACAACAACATATCAAATAGCTTTGAGTGTAATCAAATCATGAAGCTAAGAGTCAGGCAGATGAATTATCTGATGTTGATGCTGCTTGGAGCGAACTCCCGAACAACATTAAACGATGTCTTGTCAATTCTTTTGAGAAGGAAATAAAAACGTATTTACTTTTCATTGCGTATAAATCTTATGTTTGATATTATGCAACACAGATTCAAAAAACTCGTATTAATTCTCCTTTTATGGTAATGTTATGTTCTTTAAATTAATTTAAAAAACATGATCAGTTCTGAATTTTTAAGTCTGCAATATTCTGTTTGTTTAGGTTACTATGTAACTGCCTTTATTTCGTTACAACTTAACATTTCTGCATCTTTTGTTTGCATTATATATTTTTGCTACTTAATTTTTCCATCACTGTATTAACATTATGCCATTAAACTTATTGTACGTAGTTTTAGCTTTTTAATTCGCCTACGTTCTCGACCTTCATGGACTATCCTGATTGAGTTTTGTTTGCTTTATTCAATCACATTTGCCGGCACGCAGGCGTACGCCCGTATTAATTTGAATTCTCTGAAGTTAAAAAACAAAGTGAACAATTGTGAACAAGTGTGGTTGATAAGCAGCATCTCTGGTTATTAACTGGTCCAGCACAACATTACATTTTACTTTCTCGTATTTACGTCGCAAGAAGAAGAGCAAGTTCTGCATCTGTACGCTGGAAAAGGGCGAATGTTCGGTAGAAAAATTCTTATTGTCGGAACTTGGTTGGGAAAAAGTGAATTATACATATTGCAATATATCTGTTACTACTTCCTCTAACACGTGGTGTAGCCACAATCCATGTCGTGCGGATCCTTGAAACCGAATATTGATTGACGGCAAAATGTCTGTCTGTCCGTCTGGGGACACCGCTAGCGCCGAAATCGTTCAGCCGAGATTCTCCACAACGGATATTCCCTGAGAGCTCTGAACGAAGTGAGGCTTTGGGAGTTTCAAAAGGGTTCTCTGATTTTAGAGAGTTCTTTCCATGAAGTCTCAAAAACATTTTCAAAATTTTCTTAGAAAATTAACTTGAAATAAGGTCATGTTCAATTTTTCAAAAATACGAGTAGATTTCGTGTAATTTTGCAGGAAATATAGGCAATTTAAAATTATTTTAACAATTTGTTCACAATGAGTGCTGAATTTTTTAAATTTAAGTTTTCTCCAAATATGTATCAAGGGACAGTTAAACGTATGGCGCTAGACCAATTTTTGGTAAATTCTCTGTTTTCTTTCGAAAATTGCAAAAAGTTATCGTTTTGAAACCACAAAATTGAAGAGAGAGATTTTTGCCTCCAATAAAGTCTGTGGTAAAAATTCAGCATTTGAAAAAGGTCATGTACAAATATTTGAAAAATACAACAGTTTTTGCGTGACTTGTGCTGAAAATCTATGCAAATTCTAAAGAAAAGATTTTCTAAAAAACGCTTTAATATTTGTTCTGTAAATTGTTTTTCACGGCTATAAAAACGCTTGAAAGAATGTCGTGGGGCCAATTTTCGTTGAACTCTAAATTTTCGAATATTGCAAATTTAGAAATATTGTGAGAAAATAGTATGTGCACCACTACATTGTTCATATTGTGGGAAGGTCTTCAGCCCATCCAAGTGAATATGTCCCAAGTGCAATTAAGGTTGTCAATTCGTGGACGCAAGGCTACACAAAGTTAAGCCAATGTTGGATGCATCAAAATGAATTTTGGACGCAGTCACATTTCGATACAAGAAGGGTGTATCATGAAGAAGGGGTAATTATTGATTTACCGGATAAAAGTATATATAAAAAACCAAATGTTTCTGAGAAAGTCATCGAAGGGTCATATTGTTACATGAACTGGATTGGAAGAACAGAAACGAAGTGCCGTATATGGAATTTTTGTTCCTCAGATACAGGTATTTAGATGACTATTTGACCAGAGAAAAGAAAATGAAAGAACGCACTTGTCGAAGGCCATAAACCTCTACATGTTTAGTAAAAAAAATTGATGTGTGATTCGGTTTCTATCCCTCAGGGGCTTTATTTATGACGTTGACTCTGCTGAAATTCGATCTTGGCATTGCAGGAATTTTGGGCGATTATGCTGCCCACTTACATGTCATACATGGTTACCTTTTTGACTATCATCAGGCGTTCCATTACATTATCACGTCAAAGTCTTCAATATTCCTCTTTGAAGGAAAGGTGATGGGGATGAAATGAAATTAGATAAGAGAAAACGATGTGCTCTAACGATTGAATACAATCTATACCCTCTTGTACGTGAAAGTATTAACGAGAAAAAACTGTCAGACAGAATAACAAATCTCATTATCAGATCCTGTGATCTCAAAAAGTGGCGTCAATTTCTGTGGACTGAGTATAGTCCATTTCTTCCTTCCCTTAGCCCCAACTACAACTGAGAGCAATGGACCACCGTGTGCGTTGAGTAAACTCGAAGAGGGATATCAAAGTACTGCTCGTTCCTGCGAGATAGAAAATAAAGAGACATTTGTAAAGAGATCTTCGAGATGCGAGGAGAGGCGGGCAGCCTCTATAGGGCAGGTGACTCCTAACATCTTTGAGTAATGAGCATCCTTTAGCGCCCACGACGTAGTCAGAAAAGAACGGAGAGTAGGAGACCAGGCGGCAAGGAACACGCACGCATGGGGGAAAAAGGCACTTGGGGAAGATCACTGCTACTTCCGCCTGCCAGCGTCACAGAGCAGCAATTGTGTTCAATATTTGAATATTCAGCCCAATTGTTGAAGACGAAAAAATGTGAGTCATTACTCAAATATGATGCTTTTGTTTAACAGGGTACTGTATGGTATTTTGGAGCCCTTTTATTAATCGGTTTTATCGCACTGTCAGCTTCTGCAGAAAAAATATAACGAGATCTGCAGTGGAGAAATACAAGCTTCAGTAATTTTTTTTCATTATACAAAATGAAGTTTTACATCGTTTGTTATGTCGGTGAGAGAATATTCTTTATTGTGAAATTTGGATATTTGACTTTAAGAAAACATATATTTCCTATTTCCACTACTACTTACTGACGATAGCATAATTGTAAATTAAACATGATATATTTTCCAGAATGTCTTTAGAGAACACTATTCTTCTTTAAATATTATCAAAATTCGGAATTTTATTAGTCAATTATTTCTACTAACAGTGACATTTTATCTATGTTCGCTCTCAACCGCCGAGCGGAACGGACGTGACCTAGCTCCGAGTTGCTCGTGCAGTTATCAGTG